AAACCTCCTTCCAACTTTAAAATGTTACACATCCTTCTGACATTATTCATGTAAAACAACTTTTAAATATGATTCTTACTTTTAGAGATATTAAACATTGTTCAGACCTTGTTTTAGAGGTTTTCTTCAGATTTTAACATTAACTAGAGTGCGTGATGTCACAGCTAGAGTGTAGGACATCTTGAAATTTGCCTTCATATTTGTTTTTAAAACTGCCATAATTCCCAAACCCTACATTCCTGAGACATAATTTTTCATGACAAACGTAGGAAAACATCTCGTAGCTTGAAAAATGACAAATAATTAAGCAAAAATAATTAAACAAAATGCCTCTTGAGGGCATATAGTGACAAAAACGTTCAACATGTCTCCATTAAAGCCCAATTGTAATTTCAGGCTGAAATTTCCTCACGGCAGCAGCCGCACACCTTTAGTTAAACTGCCTAAAAGGCCACATTATTGACCCGAAAGTACACAAAAAGCACACGTCAGATACTCAAGGTCCTTGAGATGCTTCACGCTTTGAAATTTCACAGATATCTGTCACGGTTCTTCCACAAAACGTTCACATGTAAGAGGTTCATCTCTCATTCAGAACAATGGAAACCTGTGATCTCTACACACCTCGTTAGCTCAAATATAAACACCTGTGTCATGGAACACGATGATGTCATCGCTCCAACTGACATGCTCAGAGCAGCAGACTTCAGATAATGGTTAATGGTCCTGCCCTCAACAGCTCTACATCAATTATGGGGTGTCATCATATGCCGTTTCCATGGAAACATTACATTAACTCCTATGAAAATGTTCAAAAAGTGCTCAAACTTCACATGTGTGCTAACAGTCCAGCCGTGAAGACATCTACGGCAGGGGTTCCCAACCCCCGGTCTGCGGACCGGTGCCGCGAAATAGCTGTGAGTTTATCGTAATATTTGCAGAATTATATATCAAAATATTTTATCATAATATTTTTTTCAAAAAGTGTTTCATTTGTGCACCTATACCAGTCATATTATTTCATCCAGTAGCCTATTAATCTTTCACCAGAAAACCGTTGAAAATGGCTTTTATGATGTTCCGAGGGATTCGGCGGCTCAGCCTGGTCTCAGCCTCTCGTGCGCACGAGAAAGTTACCGGTGCGCCAAGTAGGAAGAGGAGCGCACAGGAGACAACGGTTTAATTGCAGACTGTTATGTTTATGTGGGGAAATGGCAGTGCATACATTATTTGAGATATATTTCAAACTCGGACTTCATTTTAAGGACATGTCGGCCAGGGGTGTAGAACTATTTGTTTAAGCACCGGATTGGCAAAACAGGAGAGTAAACCAGTCTGCCTTGATCTATGAATTCATGTCCGGGACTCTCACGGTATCTGCTGCCCGCAGCTGTTTGATAGAAGAAAACCTCCTTCACTTCATGAAATGGCTGCAGCATCAGGAAGCAGCGGGACGTATACTCTGCCTCTGCAGCACCAGCGGGTAAAGATGTGCCTTTTTACGCACCGCCTTCGCTGTGTTTACCTTCATCAGAACAGCTTAAGAGTGACTGCAGGCTGCTACGTGTTAACCACACACATCTCTACACACACCTCTACACACATCGAACTGCCGATTACTCCCCCTTTTATTAGTTTTATGAAGGAGATGTCCAGTCACCAAGGCGCATGATGTGTGTGTGTATGTGCTCTGCTCAGCTTAGCTCGGTGTGTTTGTGTCTGTCCGACACCGGCATTTGTTTTCAAATGACCATGAACAGTAATGTACACACATCTGGCTAACTCCATAGGTAGCCTGTATGCGGGTGTTCCCAAAATAAATTAGTTTAATCTTAATCTCGATGTAGTGCTAAATGCTGTCGAACGTGCACCGGAACAAACGACACTATCATAATATCTTCTGAAAACAAATGCCAGTGTCACACACACACACACACACACACACACACACACACACACACACACACACACAACACACACACACACACACACACACACACACACACACACCACACACACACACACACACACAACACACACACACACACACACACACACACACACACACACACACACACACACACACACACACACACACACACACACACACACACACACACACACACACACACACACACACACACACACACACACACACACACATACACAGACACACACACACACACACACACACACATACACAGACACAGACACACACACACATGTACACACACACACACACACACACACACAGACACACACACACACACACATACACAGACACAGACACACACACACACATGTACACACACACACACACACACACACACACACATACACAGACACAGACACACACACACATGTACACACACACACACACACACACACACACACACACACACCCTGGTGACCGGACACACACACACACACACCACACACACACAGACACACACACACACACACACACACACACACACACACACATACACAGACACAGACACACACACACATGTACACACACACACACACACACACACATACACAGACACAGACACACACACACATGTACACACACACACACACACACACACACACACATACACAGACACACCACCACACACCACACACACAACACAACACACACACATACACAGACACAGACACACACACACATGTACACACACACACACACACACACAGACACACACCACACACACACACACACACATACACACACACACACACACACACAGACACACACACACACACACACACATACACACACACACACACACGTACACACACACATACACACACACACACACACACGTACACACACGTACACACACACCACACACACACACACACACACACACACACACACAGACACACACAGACACAGACACACACACACACACACACACACACACACACAGACACACACAGACACAGACACACACACACACACACACACACACACACACACACACAAAATGCGCCTTCTCCTTGTTTTCCCATCACTGGATTATCCGTAAATCATACAAACAAAACCAAAACGTTGATTTATCTGTTTTCCCGTTTTGGTTTAAAAACTGAATAACGTCGGTTTTTTGGTTTTCCGTTTTTCCGAAAAACCAAAAAACGACACTGGTTCTTTTTTAAACGTTGTTGATATGTTTTGGATGCATATTGTTCTAGTATTTGTTCAGGCTGTTACAGACAATTAGCCTCTGTTGCTACCTGCTGCTGGTGAGTAAATATTAAAATCAGTTCAAATTAACAACCGGTCCGCGATTTTCTTTTAATGGATCTGCCGGTCCTTGGCACAATAAAGGTTGGGAACCCCTGATCTATGGGACAGTTTTGAGATTTCTTCAAATGTCGTTGCCATGGCAACACAATGCTCGCCATGAAACACGTTTTTCTCATAACTTCAGTGAAAATACTCCAAACGGCCCAAAACTTCACAGGTTTGGTAACGATGCAGCCATCAACACATCTAAGCGTATTATGGGGTGTCATCAAATGCCGTTGGCATGGCGACAGATCATTCACCATCAAGTTAGTTCAACAGTTTGCAGTTCAAATATTCTGCTGCTTTTCCAAGCCTTTTTACTTTCTTTTCTTCTCTCATCACACATTCAAGCCCCCAGTGTTCATGTTTCATTTCAATCTAAATTCTTCACTTTCTTCTTACACATTACATTTCAGCATAGCAGTTTAGCGTCAGCTTTTCAGCATAAAGCATTCCTACTAGCAATGTCTTCAGGAATTGCATTCTCTAGTTATTATTTTATTGTTGTTGTATTTGCTACTGTGCATGTGCCTGTATCACCTACGTTAGTCCCAGTGAAGGCATTAACATCCACTATAACCAGGCTAGAGTGGTGGATGGGTGTTTACCATCTTCAACTTCGTGGGAGGACAGAGATCATCTAACATGATGCCCAAGATGGATTGAAAAACTGTCATTGAAAAACTGTCTGAAAAGGGCAGGTACTTAAAGCATAAGTATAATAGCATCTATTATTAATAGAGGCCATTGTTGTACATTAACCTTTACTCCAATTGTTGGACAAGGCCTAACCAAATGTTTAAGTTGCATAACCTTACCCATATCATAATGAATTTGCTATAAACACAATCCATCCCTAATCAGTACCATACTGTTGTTACAATACGAAGATAATGTATGAAGCAAGCATTTTATGAAATGTTGGCATTATAGTTGATCTACGGATATACAGTATGTCCCATGTGTTTGTCAGTTGGTTGGTATCATTAGGGTTTTAAATATGTATCTGACATTGGTTTATGAGTTTAGTAAACCTTTAAATGATGTCGCTGACCTTGAGCTTTAACCCTTTATGCATGTGTGTGTGTGCACCGCAGGAGGCACAAATAGATCCTTCTGTATCAGGTTAAATTGCACTGACAAATCCACACTGTGTCTGCCTTTGAAAACATGTCAAGTAAATTGGTCTAATGGGAACAGAATCAGCAGCCTGGCAGCAATCCCAGCACAGAAATCCCTGCTCGTCTTGTTTCACCACTTGAGTTTCAGTATGGCAATTGGATACATTATCATCTAGCAACAAAAGCTGGTACTTGTGATGTGTAGGTTTTTTTGGAAACTCCAACAGATTAGCGGTAAATTGGATTTGTACTATTCTGAGGCCAGTCCACACTGCCAACAGTTAACAAGTATCTCTGTATCATATGAAGTGTACATATGAGGTTGTTCTAAAGCATTAAATCAACATGTTTTAGTTGTTTTAAGATGTACTTCCTGTAAAAGCAGTGCAGCTGTTTTTCCCGCCAGCTGGAACTCCTCTATCCACACTATTAATAACCTTCCTACATCAAATACATGATCTGTTGGCATGTGTCATAGAGGCAGATGAATGTGCTCTTTCAGCTCGGTAATCTAAGCGAAAGAGATGGCTTAACTTTAAAAAAAAAGGTTGGTGGATAAAAAAGGAATTCAAGTTGAAACTCACCATGGTGTCTACATGTTTGAGAGGATGGTCACTGCTTGGTGCCTGATCAGAAAAAACAAAATAGAGAGAAACAGAAAGTTAGATCAATACCTGCAACAATTTGTACCTCAGAATGTGATATTTTTTAATGTTGTGTCCGGTCACATCATCTCCTGAAATGCTATGTCGCAGTTACGCTCAGCGCCATTCTTTGCCCTAATGTGGCCTGGTGGAGCAGAGTGGAGCTCCACCTTGAATGCGTGGGACCATCTATAATCCCTCTGTGCAAATATTTACACAAAGAGACAGGACTGCTTCCATTAGCCAAGACCAGAGAGTCCATCCGTGGAACTCTCTTTTTCAATGCCATATAGAGCTATGGACAGAGAGAGAGGACAGGGCCAACAGAGAGAGAGACATTGGGGACAGAGAGAAAGGAAAGAGAGTCGAGAGATAACTAAAAGAGAGTAAGAAGTGGGTGGGTGGACACTCAGGGTCGGCTATAAAACAGAGGTTCATGGCAAAGAGCAGAAGAAGAAAACATCAGAGCAATCCGTGATGTCATGAGCTTGTGTGGGCTTGGCTTACCGCAGACTACCACACATGCACAGATGTGACAAAATGAAGCATAACTAATTCAGTTTACAACATCAGTCATACCTATATGTAGCAGAACAAACAGGAAATTATTAGTGGCACTTTTTGCCGTAGTATTGTACGTAAACTGAAACATTGACTTTAATTAAATGTATTATGTCAACAGATTTCACATAACTGTAGTAGGTCAGTTGAAAGCAATGTTATTAGGTTTAAATACAAAATATTAGGTTCAATGTAATAGTATTGCTTTCAACTAACCTAATTTATGTGACATTTGTTAACATAATACACTTGAATAAAGTCAACATTTCAGTTGTGTCAGTGTAGTCTACAACTGTATTTAGCTTGCTTTTATTCTAGATGTAGGATCCCTGTCTCTGTTTGTCATCATTGTGTAGAGCAGAAATGCAGTATATCTGTGTTGCACATAGATTTGAGTAATGTCAAAAAGTGAGTGAACCTCAATACTTTGTTCTCGTGTGACGAAAAACAGCCCTTAAACTGTAAAACGTCACGGTCAGATCCTTAGGTTTACTTATTTTTTGATGAAATATGTTCTTGTCCAAACTAGTAAAGAACCTAAACTGGAGACCACATTTTACTCTAGGAACATTTGGATAAAGGAAGCATTGAGCTCATGCAGGACACTAAAGTTAAATCCCACAGCTGTTATCAGCTGACAGCCCACTGAGTGAATCATCATCTGTAATTAGTCACACTCCAATTACAGCTCAGTTTCACAGGTCCTAAGCCTTTTTACTGGAGATGTACATCTTGAAATAAATGGGTCAAAACCAAGAGGCAACCTCAAGGTTTGAAAAGTGAAGCCACTGTGAAAGTGCCTTGAACATGGATTTTTTTGTACAGCCTGCAGGGGGCAACTGCAAATGAAATTACTTCTCACTTAAGTAAATATTTTATTTGTTCAACCAAATAGTCTCAATGGCTAGTACAATAGGTAATATGTAATACAGCATAATGTTCAGTGTGATAGAATAGAAGTCTATGAAAAAATGATCTTGCTGCCCTCTTGATTTATTACCCAAACGTAAACTACGTGTGTTTGTGGTCTCAATAACTAGTTTCTGGTTTCTTCTTTTCTACAGCATGATATACATTTTCTAAATGTTGGTCCCATTTAAAGTAGAATAGACGACAAAGCAGGGTTTGCTTATGGAGCGGGGCTACCATGCGATCACCTGTTTTCGTCAACACTTTCGAATTTATGTTCTGTATAATAAATGAAATGTAACATTTGAAATTGCCTAAAATGTCTTGTTCAGCATTTGGCTGTACTTATCTCCATCTTCTCTTGTTCCAACAACCAAGATGGCGACTGAAAAACTGCCAAAATTGGGGCCTCAGACCGATACCCAACAAACCAATTGGTGACATAGTGGCTTCATCCATATGGAGTCTTTGGTCACAACATTTGGTTTAAACATTTAAGGCATCAGGATGATGTGTGGGGGGTTGACTAAAATAAACCTTCATGGAATAATGTAAGAGCAACATTGTGATTAATTGACGTGTAAATAGATAGCAACAGAGCTCAATTGGACAGAGGGATAAAGGATATAAGTAGTTTTTGGTACACAGAAAAAAAGAAATATAAAAATACCACGTATTCTTTGAAGTACAGAGCAGTAAAGAGTTATGCTGTTTAATGTTGTAAATCTGAATGTGGATCAAAGTCTCCTCTATGGTAGTGATCACTGGACGGTACCAACACAAAGAGCTTCACTATGACACCAACGATGCTGTGCTTCTGTAGAAACGTTCAGTGGAATATAAACAGTAAATGCAAAGGGTAAATTATAGTCTGCCTCTGCAGGGCCCAGAATACAGACTAAACGCCCAGAGCAAACCACCAACCAAAGAGAAAGAGGGATGGAGGGAGGAAGGGAGAGAACCATTATAACCAGTGATTTACCAATTTACATTGAAAAGACCCAAAGATTCAAAGAAATGCTGATTAATTAACACTAGAAGTCCCGTTGAATACCTCAATTTCATATCACAACTATCTGCTCTCTCTACCAGTTAGCTGAGTTGTAGCACAACCGACAAATGGAAGACAGAGTTGTTTCTAGAAATGAAGGAAAAGGAAACCTCAGATTGATGTTTTAGCCTCTAAATGCAGACTGTGGATTTGCTCGGAGGTCAACATTTTCAGCCGCAGGCATTTTAACACAAATAGAGACTATTGTGTGTGAACAGAGAAAAACACACACAGACCCAAACACTTCTCACAATGATATATTCTAACATGTGCGTTTCCGTTTCGTGCAATTGCTGCCAGATGGCCGGAGCGTGTGTATGTGTGTGGATTTTCACTGGAGCTTGCCACTCATTTAAAAAGCATTAGAAAGCCTGGGAAGCTGTGTATCAGCAACATAGCCCTCAGTGGAAGTGTTTGCAGTTTCTCCAAGCCCTCTTCAAACGAAACATTTGAAGAAAAACTGTAGCACAAAGGCCAGTAATGGTATCAAATACTTTTTTTTATCAATGCAATTATTGCAAGCCATGCACATTACATCTGTGTCATCATTTTAAGGACAGGAATGGGTCTTTGCTTTAACACACCAAAATGATAAACATGTTCTTTGTCATAGTGATTCAAGATCAAGAGGTCAGTCCTCAGGGCCTGGAAGTATCTTAAACATGCATTATTTTAAATGACCAAAAAGGGGCGAACAAGAAGTAGTCACATTGTATGGAAGTCTATGAGGAACTATACTTTTCTATTGTTATATTACTTTAATAAGCGTTAACTAATCAATAGGTCTCAATCACTGGTTTGTATTCTTCTTAAATACAGCACGATGTTCTTTATCTAAATGATGGCCCAGATTACAGATCAATTGACGATAAAACAGGGTTTATCATGTGGCAACCTTCCCCTTAACGAGCCGCCACCACGGCACCACTATCATGTCATTGTTAAACTCGCGGTTTTACATAAAGACACACTAAAGAAGAAGTGTTTAGCTGTTCATTTGTTTCCATTAAGAACAATTTTTAAGTATGTTTTTGTCAAGCCAAAATTAGCATCACAATTATCACAGTTAACATGAATTAGGAATGCACTTGGCCAACCAAGCTAGCTAGCTAGCTAGCTGCAGTACATGGCCACGCTTGGCCCAGCTCTACGCTCTCCTTCAAATAGGGTCAACATTGACAGCAGAAATGCAAAGTTAGAGGTTTTTAACAGCACAAACCAAAGGCTTAAGGTTGCTACTCAAAAAATGTTATGCAGTCTACGGTTCAGACTCCAAGTGAAAACTTGCTTCTGATCAATAGCTAAATGTCTAGTCAGTGCTTTGATAGGAAAAAGACAGCCAGTAAGTCCAACACATAATTGTTATCTAAAAACAAAATGCCAGGGAGAAATAGCCTATACTACACAGTGCAAATAATATTAAAACAAGCTTGAGAAGCTTTTGTGACTAGCGCTAGCATGTTAGCCATTGGGATGCTAGCTACAGTAGCTCAGCAACTATTCCTGCTAGTAGTCATCACGCCACCACGTTTCTCACACAACCACGCAAAGAAAAGCAAATACTTTGTGACGGAGCTGATGGCTGCATATCATGTCATGCAGTTTTTCATGACCATGCCAAATTAGCATCAGTAGGAACATCAAGTTGATGTGACAGTTCCAATATGACCAGTCAAGACCATATTGTTTGTCTGCATAAGGACAGGGAAAATGCTCTAAATACTATAAAGTTATTTAAATAGAATCATGTGAAATTGTCCACGTAGGCATCCTTTAGTGGTAGTATTGAAAAAAGACAATGTGTTAATCCTAAAGAGACAGTCACATTTGTTGTACAGGATAATGCAGTCCTTTATCATAATGAGTAGAGGCTAAACATCTGAGAAGTTGTTCACACTGCACCTGGAAGTACTGTGGAAACAGAACCATATTCCAGACACAAAGAGCCAAATGTGTCACATTCTCCGAATCAAAAACACCCGTATTGTCCTCAAACTTAATTAGACAAGATTCAAGAGGAGAGACGAAGAAGAAAATCACTGTTGTGTAGCCAAGAGCTCTGCAGCACCTGCACAAAGAGTGAAACACACTACCCCACAATCCAGTGCACTAAATATGTCAGGGTACACATATTTCTCCAACAAAGGATATCGATTGGACAGTATCTCAGAAAAGGGGGGGAAAGAAAAACCATATCCATTGCGAATACTCAGGTTTTCGAACTCTTTGGCCCATCTCCAGCTCAGAGCCATCCCATCACCTTGAGCCGAGTCAGCTGAGCATCATATTGCATTTGTTCTCATGAGAGCAGCTAAATACAGGCTGTTGATCTCCCATGTGGTACCAAATATTAACAGACGTAACAATAGACAACATTATCATAACATTTAGCTTAAAAGGAAAACTAAATCAGTGTTTCCTGCTTGATAATGATAACAAATATATTTCATGGGTGCTTACA